GAAATAAAATTAAATAAAAGATAGACGAAAAGGGAAAACAATAAAATGGTAGGTATGAGAAGGAATGCATCAGAGGGTAAGGAAGGAAGGAAGGAAGGAAGGGGTCGCGGATAGCGGGGTGTATTTGTGAATGGAGCAAAACCCTGCGGAAGACTGAGGGTTGAATCAATATGGCGGGCCGCACCCCTTACTAGAATTGTGACGTCATTAAGCTGTATGAGAAAACCTGTATGTGCGACAAAATATTATCACGAAAATTTTCTTAGAAATTAATTGTCCTATTTAATGACACTTTATAACTTAATGTTAGATATAATTATCTTTTTTTTTTCTTCGTGACACGTTGAATTAAAATTCTATTTATCATGTTTAAACATTCGGGAAATAGAAATAAATATAAAAGAAATGTGTGTTGTTTCTTCATTGATGTAAGGACAAGTCGATTGGTCGATACGTTGTATCAGATAATATGTCAGACGTATTCTCGACGAATAAGGAGAACATATGAGAATAGTCAGTCAAGTGACACAACAACATGAGTGTGAATGTATGAGTGAAACAGGTCCTCACATGGCTGACCCGTCCAGTCATCGAGAGACGCAACAGGGTTCGGGTATCAGATCATGCGAGGATCGATGTTTGGCTCGGGTCACCGCCACCAAATATCACTCGTTATATTCCAACACTTGTCTAGCTGTCTCCAAGTTCCTTTGATTTTTACTTTGATCGTATCTAGAGTGATGCATCATTTATAAAGCATAATTTAAATAGGGCTTGAAAATATTCGTTAAAGTGTACATGACACTAAAAAAAAAAAATAAAAAGCAAAAAGTTTTTTTTTATCAATCACAATATCGTTGTCAACTATTTTTGTTCAATAATTATTCCTACAACACAATAAATAAATCTTTACAGATTTAGTTTAAATAATAAAAAATATATTTTTTTAATTTAATAAAAATAAAAAAATTTTAAATTAATAATTTGGTGTTAAAAATATTGTTATATATATACAGTGGAATTAATTTTTATTTGTCCTTAACTTTTTTACCTGTGCATACAAAAATTGTGAATATACGGAATATTAAATTAATATTTCACCGAATATCGAATATTTCTAACGTAGGGAAAACATTTTTATTGTAATAGAATTGACATATAATAACAATCATATACATTTATTTACCTTATAAAAATTCTGATTAAAATCAGGATAGATTTGAACATACAAACACTTGAGAGACAGGTTCTTCTTTATTTAATCTGTAAAAATTTTATTGGACTGAATTTAAACATTTATAAACTATTGGTTTATTTAATAAATAAACACAACAATTATTGAAAGAAAAATAAGAAAAAGACATAAAAATAAAAAATAAATTAATTAATTATAACGTTAATATGTTGTTTTGCATGATATTATTTAAATATCTGTATTTAAATAATAATTTATTTTCGACTGATTGCATTAATTTAAATACCAATAATGTCATTAAATTTATAAAAAAAATAAAACTGTGAAAAATTATAATTTATAATTATAAAAAAAAATCTTACAATTTTCAATTGGGAGATTAATCTAAAAATAACTCTCTAATGAACTTCACCACTTTTCTTATTAAACTTTATTGCTCGATAAAAAATTCAAAGGAAAAATGAAACTTTTCACGTTAAATGGTCATTGAAATTATTATTCATTAAAGATATCCTCACCAAAACACAAAAAAAGTCTCAGGATAACTTGTTGAAACTCTCACGTACATATTCACGCACATTTTTTTTGCAAACGTACATTATTTAATTAACACCAATACCTTTATGAACATGCAACTTCCTACGAGTTCTTTATTCATTTGATATTTTTTTCTTCAACAACAGCTCAAAGGAATTTTTTTATTCAGCATTTTTTTTGTTTTTCTATTTAAACTATCTCCAACTTTTCTGTTTTTTTTTTTCTTCGAAGAATTTACTTTGTCTGTACTTTCAACTGTAACAGTCAAATAATATAAGAAGATAAAATACGTAGGATGACAAGATGGAATGAAGAAAAAAAAAAGTACCTTAAAAGAAAATAAGATTTATCCATGTAAAGTAGTAAGAAATTAGATTGACTGTACTTTGAGCAATCGATGTCATAAATTAAAGAAATCAACCCAGAAAAAACTAGAGACTACGGGCATCGACCGTATATTAAAGGTTACGAACGGCTAATAATTTTTAGTGCACTTATGCCAGCTGTATAAATGACGTCACGCGACTTTAAAAACTATTCTAAGCATTATAATACAGCCAACGTAATCAACATAAGCCAATCGAATTGACGTATCAGTTAGACTATCTCTTTAAACGCTTCAACTGTATATCCCTATCTTTATACGTCATTGAATAACGGTGTTGCTGGGTCACACGAGACGAAGGATGAAATGTCCAACTAATAATAAATAAACGTATCATTATTTTTCTCTTACTCTTTTTCTATATCTTATCTATCGATTTATACGGTAATTTTTGTTCAATTAAATTAATGTTAAATGGCCAAGTGATATACAAGGATTAGTAGTTTATGGTTGTCATTTATTATCAAACTTAAGTCATGAGAAAAATTAAAGTTATCTTTCGACTATTGGAATTAAAGTATAAGGATATTTTTAGAGTTTCAAATGTTTTCAAAGAAGAAGATCTTTTTATAATAAAGGCACAAAGTGTTTAAAAAGTGTGTTTGAAACCTGTAAGCAAAAATAATTTTTTTGTTGAAGAATAACTTTTGTTCATAATTGTAGGTAAAATATTTTTATTTCATTCTATTAGATAAATTTAAAAAAGTATTTTAATTACATCTTCAAGCAAGCAAATAATATAAAATCTTGAAAATAGAAAATAACATTACAAGTCAAATAAAAGATTCGCTTGGATCAATTCATTCTTTATTAAATAAAACTTTTTTCTTGAAATATATATGATCAAAGGATACATTATGTTCTTACAACAAATACTGTAAAGATGAATACATTTCAAGGGGTAAAAAAAAAGTTAAAAATCATTATTATATAATAAAAGGTCAAGTAGGATAAATGTAATAGGGCAAGAGAAACGAATCATCAAAATGTTTTTTTTTTTATTTTTTAGAATTTCTGTAGCAATTATAAATAATTACAATCAAAGGTTTATTACCAATTTAAAAATATAAACAATAATAATAATCTTTAACAAATCACAAGATAATAATAATAACAATTAAAAAGAATTAATGATAGCTATTACCTTCATCCTATACCTACCCATTATACTTATCCCACTTGACCTTATATTGGTCAATTCCACCATCTTATATACCTAAAAAGAATTTATTTGACTAGGTTCAATTAATGAGCTAGAATTTAACTAATTTCTTTATTTTATAAAATAATCAATTGGAACTCGAGCCTAATTACAACTACAATCAATATAAAAAACTAGTAAATATTGGAGAATCTTCTAATCTGATTCATCAAGACCTTTGGTCCATTCCAACTACCATGATGAGCTCTTGATTACCATAAAGTGCTCTTTGCTGATGAGTAAGAGAATAGAAAATTGATGATATAGTCCATTAAATAATAACAATAATGAATGAAATCACTCTTATTTCTCAATAAATTTCTCAATATTCCTCACAGTTTAAGTATTAAAATGGCATCAAATAAAAGAATAGGAATGACTGTGACTTTAACGGAATTTCGTTTTTCATGAGTTATTAATTTTGACCTTATATTTAATGTTTAGATTTTAACACTAGATTTTGAGAGTATGAAAAAAGAAGTAAATAGGGTAAGAGGGAGCAATGTTTTTTTACTTGGAAAAGATTGAGGTGATAAGAGGGTTGGAAGTACTTAACATCTCAAGGAATGTACCATTCATGTTTCTCTAATTATAAACATATTAGTGGACTTTATATTTAAAAGGTTATTTAAGTAAAAGTATCATTAAATTTTTTTTCTCCATCTTATTTATTCATTTCCTGTACCAATAATTTATATATAATCGTGATCGAAATATATTTTACGCTAAAGAATGATTAATGAACTTTTATTTATTGATTTTTGCTCCAATAAATTACATTTTTTTTTGACATTTCAAAAGCTTTGACCTAAAAAACACTTGTTTGATCTATTTTTCAATGAATTAAATATCATCTAACATAATTAATTGAAATTAACCATACGTTAGTCATTGATTTTACAAAAATTATCTTTGCAGTTTTTATTATTAAAAATTGCGCCATTATTGCTAATAATGATTTAAAAATTGATTGAAGTAAAAGTGAAAGATATTTAGAGAAAATATTGAATAATGGTGGTTTCTAAAATTTATCATATTTATTTTTTACTTTATTTTCTATTAAAGACGACCAAGATTATTTGACAATACATACTTGACCTCTGTAGAAAAATTATATCAAAGAGTTTAAAAATATCACTAAGAGGTCGCAAATAAGTAATTCAATGGAGAAGAATAACTGTTGTATATAATCTTCAATCTTTTTTTGGAATTTTATAATTGTTATATTGCAATTATTCCATAGATTAAGTGGTAGTATGTATTTATAGAAGATAAACTTGGTAATTATGATAAATATCATTAGTTCCCTGACGTCATTTCATTGAAGAATATCAACTTTTAATACAAAGAATATTCATCTTTTTTATAAGTCAATTATTTAAAAAAAATTTTATTATCATAAAATATTTCAAAGTTATTTTGATAGTTAATTTTGAGTAAATACTGTTTTTTAAACTTCATGATGAAGTGGATTGAAGTTACAATTTATATTAAATTGAAATTTGATGTAAATTTAGTTCTCTTCATAAATTTTTCTTTATTTTAATTTATTAGGCGCTTTTTTTTTATACAAAATCGATACTGTTAAGTTTAATTTATTTTATTCATTGTCGGTATTATAAGAAACTTTATAACATTTCCTTCTGATAACTTATCGTCCATATCCTGTCAAATTTGATCACATAACCTCCATTATTTCGAATAAATACAGTGTTTATTTGACGGATAGCAATGTCTACTTGCTGGCTCCTAACTTGTCACATTTAATGACAATTTCTATAAATTGGAAGGAAACGAATCTTAGTGGAACGTACAACAATGTCATCAACTCATCTATCAGGAGGAAGATTGAATATAGGCTTGATTCAAGAACAAGCAAGGAAACAATTATTAAATCTGATTGAAAAATGCGATGGTCCAAAGGTAAATGAAAACTCTATTTATATTGTTTTTATGTTGATTGGAAAATATTTTTTTAATTCTTTATTATCAGGCCATTGTTTGGGATCCATCACTTGCTGGACCAGTTGGTCTTATTGCAAGATATAATTTATTAGAAGAATATGGAGTGACAAAAATGTATGAATTAGTTGGTGGACAACTGCCACTGACTAATGTACCTAATATAATCTTCATAGTTCGTCCACAATTACATTTAATTGATTTAATTGCTGAAAATGTACATGGGTAAGTTATTTAATCAGTCTAGATTGTGTCAAAGTAGTAATTGATAAGTTAAATTAATTATCGACGTAATATTTTTGCAGTGAACAGAATAGGCCAAGAAAAGAATTTCACATCTTTTTTGTACCAAGAAAGAGCCTTTTGTGTAGGAAAAAATTAGAAAATCGAGGAGTTCTTGGTAATTTTACTCTCATTGAAGAATTTGCATATGATTTATTCCCTTTTGATAATGATTTGGTATCGATGGAATTGAGTCAGACATTCAGAGAATTTTATTTAGAAAATGATCCTACGTGCTTATACCAAGTAGCACAGGCCATCAAAAAAATTCAAGGACTGTATGGGAGAATCCCTCGAGTAACAGGACGTGGACCAGCAGCGAGTAAAGTGTGGGAATTATTAAAACGATTAGAGCGAGAAGAAGATGAAAATGAATATAAAAATAATTTTAGATTAAATCAAGGCTCGAATTTATCACCAACGATAGATCATTTACTTCTACTAGATCGAAGTGTTGATCTCCTAACGCCACTTGTTACACAACTTACATATGAAGGTTTAATTGATGAAATATTTGATATCAATTGCAGTAAGTATTTTTTTGAATAAATATCAGCAATTAATATCAATTGATAAATTGAATGTTTGGAATTTTTTCAGCTACTGTTAAATTACCAGCAAAAAAATTCCATGATAACGATGATTCACCCACAGTCATGTCAGTAGATAAGAAAGAAAAAATCATATTAAATTCTGGAGAAGAATTATTTGCTGAAATCAGGTATTCTTTTATTCATGCTAAAATATATAATTTTTAACTTTTCTATTCACTAGAATTTCTGAATAATATCTAAATAATTTCAGAGACAAAAATTTCAATGGTGTTGGTCCAGTTTTAAGTCAAAAAGCTAAAATAATTTCATCACAGCTGGATGAGAAACATGGAGATAAAAGTGTTCAAGAAATAAAACAATTTGTTGCTCGATTGCCGCACATGCTTGCAACAAAACAATCTCTAACTAGACGTAAGTATTTTATAAATTATCAGATTATTAAAAATGAATAATTTTATTTAATTTAAATATAAACTCTTATCTTTAGATACTACAATCGCAGAGATGGTAAAAGAAGTAACAGATTCAAGTGATTTCCTCGAATCGCTTCAACTGGAACAAGAACTTTTAAACTGTATAGATACAGATAAGCCAAATGCATTTATTGAAGACTGTATAGCGCAAAAAAAACCTTTGATTAAAGTTCTCAGGCTTATTTGCATTCAATCTTTAACGAATTCTGGGTTAAAGCCAAAGCTCCTTGAATATTATAAGAGAGAAATTATTCAAACATATGGTTATCAATATCTCCCAGCGCTTTTAAATCTTGAAAAGGCTGATCTACTTCGTTCGCAACAATCTGCACGACAGTATGCAGTTTTAAGAAAAGCTCTCAGACTAACAGTAGAAGACGAAAGTGAAATTGCACCAAAAGACATAAGTTATGTGCACTCTGTTTATGCTCCGCTGAGTGTGAGATTGGCGGAGCAACTGGTTCAGCCTGGAGGCTGGCAAGGTTTAAATGATATTTTAGGATTATTACCAGGGCCACCAATTAGTTGTGATTTTAGAGGAGCAATTCCTATGATGAGAAGTATAATCACATTTTATTTTAATAAACGCAACTCTAATTATCTGTTACTAATATGTTTTGTTCATTTAGGAGGATCTATCACAAGTGAAGGTTCGAATTCGGAACCTCCAAGATTAATTTTAGTATTTTTCATTGGTGGATGTACCTATGCTGAAATTTCAGCTTTAAGATTTTTATCACAACAAGAAGATCGTAAGTAATAGCGGAACAATGATTTTTGTTTCATCTAATTACAATGATATTAAATTTCATATTTATTGTTATAGTTAACGTTGAATTCGTTGTGGGAACGACAAAATTAATTAATGGAAATACTTTTCTGAGTTCTCTAATCGAAGATTCAGAGACAAATAAAAAATGAAGATAAATCTAATAATAAATATAAATATTATTTCACTAATATATAAAAATTAAGATACAATATTGTAATTATCATGAACAATTAAATTCAATGAAGATAACACAATCTTAACAACTATTTAATAGATAGTTGGTTGCAAAATACAATTATTTAATTATTATTTAGTTGTTTATAATGAAGATTAATAAAAAATTATAAAATCAAGAAATACAAAGTTCATTAAATATAAAAGAAGGAAAATGAACAAACTTTATTAGCTCGTAGTCAGATATTCTGGTAACATATGTCCGGAATCTCCAAAACATCGTAATGTAACCCGTCCACTGGGATGAATACTGACCCAGGTAATACTTGCATGTTTTAATGAAAGTCGTAACCACGCTTCAGGCGGGAATTGTAATGCTCTATTAAAGAATAATATACAGTTATGAATAAGTAATTAACTCCTCTAAATTGATTAATCTCTATAATAAAAATTCAATTACCTGCATACAAAATATCTTATAACATTTGCATGACAAACAATTATAGTATAAGAGTCTGAAACATCTCTTGGACTAGCTCTATGAAAATATTTCCTAAACGCTGCTTCAATTCGAGGTCCATCTTGAAAATACTGTTCCAAAATTATTTAAAAAAATGGAAATTATAAAATAATCTGTGTAAAAGCATTTAACAATATCTAAATATTTACTTGACTTTCAGCTTTCCAATGACCAATAGGAGGTTCAGGAGGAATAGGAGAGCCTTCTACAAGAATACTATCATCTATAACTGGTACTTTCATTAGACTTTTTTCAATTATTTTGGAAGTTTCTTGTGCACGAGCCATTGTGGATCTAATAATAAGAGAATATGGCAGGGCCAACTCTGCCAACCGTTTACCAGTCGATTCAGCTTGACGTCTGCCTTTAAAGAATAACAATTCAGGTATTATCTGTGCCCAAATTTATATCTAAATAATATTTTTTAACTGATGTATTTATCAATTAGTAAACTATTCAATTCAAAATTATTACACACCAAGATCAGTTAATATCCTTTCAGCGTCATTCTGCCCTGCTAAGTTATATTGCCCATGTCTAATAAGGAGTAGATGTCGAACAGTATGAGGCTTCTGAGCATCTAACTTTTCATTGTAGTCATTTTCATCGTTTGTACTTTTTATCTTCATTGGTTTTACCATACTTTTTGGATCTCGTCTATTGAAATTTAAAATATATATCAACAATTTTTATCATTAAAAAAAGTTAATAAAAAGACTGCAATAAAAGATTTTAAAAAAATTTGAACAAAATATAATCTATGAAATAATAAAATAACGTACTTGTCCCAATTGCTATCCCATTTAGTCGTAGGCACAAATTTCATCACTTCAGATGTATTTTTGGTATTGAAAAATTCTATTTGTTTGGTTTTCTGTCCATTTTCTGAGAAGCGATAATAATATAATGTAGCACCAGTTATCGCACAAATTCCACCCAAAGCATATTTTTGAAATCGTGAAAAGGCAGTCATTTTGATTAAAAATATTTAAACAATATAATTACGATAAATATTAGATAAAAGTTAGACAAAACACTACGAATCACTATCCACGTGTGACTTTTTGTTCATTGCTTTTATTTACAGCTGTTTACATACGAAAGCCATCTAGAGTGACAATCAATTTAAAAATATCAACTGTAAGTATTAAAGTTGTTCTTATTTATCAGCATTACTATTATTGACTATCGATAACTTGAGCCATTTTTGTGTGATTATTTGCAGATAACTCAGAAACCTGATCAATCATAATAATCACAAAAGAGCAGCAGTGAAGTCGAAGTGGTGGGGTTAAAAGTCGTGGACATCGGACAAAGGTTGGTTGCGTCGGTAGCCGGCGAACTAGGCGGTGCTAAGCAGTCAGCAGACAAGCAGGCTTTACATCAAGACATCTCGTCGAGAAGCAAACCGAGCAGAGTGGCGGCGCATTCGCGATTCAAACATGGCAGCGGCTACCAGCGTTGTCGTGCTCGACCGGGGCAACAATACCACCTGCACGATCAACTTACATGGTGTGTGTAAATACAAATACATATATAAATTTGAGTTTATTATCATTTTATAAGTGTGATTATTAGTGAAGGTTGTCGTGTTAGAATGGACGAATTTTTTTTTGTTTTTTTTAACAATCATCAATACATCTACGTAATAATCAACCGTTTCTCTCATCTCAACTTTTTGCTCTTTCGCTCTCTCATCATTTTTTTCTGTCATTAAGAATTACCAAGCAATACGCGCGGCTTCAGTATGTCAAGTTTTGCCCACAGGCATGTGCACTTTCTTCAAGAGCAAGTGAGAGGGTGAGATAAGCGCGGGATATTCTCTGAACCACGTGGTTACGTCGTGGGGATGTTACAAAGCTCCTTTTCTCTTTTTTTTTTACCTTCACTTTAAAATTATTTTTACTAATAAAAAAAAATCATTCTAACATCAAGTGCTCATTTAGATTGAAAAACATCCAATCAGAGGTTTCTTAAAGTGGAAAAGATCATCAAAAAATTATTCAGATAATGGATTTAAAAAAATTAAAAACCATGACTCACGATTGCATGATGGATTGTATCAATTCTGTATGCATGATTTGTCGTTATACTTGCAAATAATAATCGTATGATCATTTAACTTCACTGATAATAGAGTTAAATAATACTTCTAATTAAATAAAAGAATTTTAAATATACTTGATAATTTTTTTAGGTGCCACAGTGGTTTCTTGGAGGGTTAATAATCAAGAACAGCTGTTCGTTAGGTAAGCTATATTATAATTTTATATTTAAAAAAAGTTTAATTTTTACTATTATTACTTGATAAATAATCATGAACTATGACATTGATAACTCTTGAATTTAAAATACTTGATAAACGTTTAGCAACTAAATTAACAATATAAAACGTATATTGCGGAAAAGCTTACTCAGGATATACAGATGAAGTGAAGGGTAGAGAGAAACTATCTCAAGCACACACAAGAGAAAAAACTATAACGGGAGAATGAGAAACGCCAGAACTCACTAACGGCTGCTTTCATCTGTGTACACATCTCGGCTTTCGTTTTATTCTCATCAATGTAGCACACCAAGAAGCATCCGTATATCCTTTCCCCTCTCTAAACAAAGCAACGATCAGAAATGCAGAGTTTTTTTTTTTATTTCCATGACAATCTAAAATCTAACTGACTAAATAAAATAGGGATGTCATAAATAATATATTGTATCTTTTTTCACGTTAAACTATCGATTTATGACAGTTTATACGTCTTGACACCTTCGTGATAAGGATACAAAAATATATAAATAATATCATTTATTTTGATGAAGATAGTCAACTGCAAGTTTATTTGTTTTTTTTTTAAAGTTGCTAAAATAAGGATATGTTTGAATAACGGAATTAAAATAAAAAATTAAAGTTGGTTTTGAACATAAATTATTAATTGACTTGACAAAAGCTGAAAAAAATTAAATATCCAGGGGATTTTAAAGATAAGATAACTCTTTTGTTATAAGTGAAGCTTTTAAGACTTTAATAATTTATTATTTAAAGATAGTTTCATATCTTAAAGTTTTAAAAAATTAATTTTCGTCAAGACAATACTTGGCAAAATTTTTATTTATTTTATCTGGATTTTCCAACACATTTTGATATGTATTCAGTTGAAATTGTCTGTATTGGACACAATCAGAGCTGATGCGAGTATTTTTCGAGACCCAAGAGAGAAGAAGAAGAGGCAAAGTGAACGTAAGAATCGGTAGCAGCCCTACGATTTATCTTGACAGAAAGGAATCAGGGTGGAGAAGAGAGAGAGAGAGAGAGAGAGATAAAAAAAGAGTTTTGAAAGAATGAAGAAGATATAAACCTCTAGTAAGAATATGATAAAAGAAAAAAGTTTTTCTTTGTAAAACAGATCAAGTTAAAGTTTATTTATTGTAGGAAAATGTACACATTATTTGATCACAGACATTTCAATTTACCAAGGTAATCAAGAAGAATTAACGTGGTTCAACATTCGATAAATTGTGAGGCAACGGAGGAAGACAAATTTGGAGGTTTCATGGAGGATGTTGGACGTGTGTTTGAAATAGTGAAGAGGGGTAGGAGGATGTATTGAAGAAGAAAGGAAGGGAGCAAGAAAGGAAGAGAAATAGAGATGGAGCACTAATGATGCAGCAGCGCCTGGCGTCGTCGTCGTCCCTGGTTTTTGTCGTCGTTCTCTCCCTCCATCTCCTTCATCTCTTCAGCTCGCTTGTCGGACCATAGGATTTGCACAGACAAGAATTTTCCAGATGGATATCCTGCTAAAATTTTCAGTAAATTCCCAACTGAATTTAAGCTTCAAATAGCAGGTATTTTGTTAATAAAAGTCTGAATAATCAGTAAGTTGTTTAATTTATCAACTTGAGATTGATATTTATCTTGAAGGAATAATGAAAGATCCTTGGAGTAGATGAGGTGCGTTGGCCGAGCGCAGAAGAGAGAAGAAATAAAGGGGGGAAGACTCCAAGAGTCCTGCAGTTGAAAGGGAATGTTGTAGAATGCCGGCAAAAAGCGTTCAGCCACTGAGATCATTAGTCTACGGTCTCGAGCTTATAACCAACGTACCGGTGGTATACCGGGTGAGACTGAACATGGGAAAGACATTTTTGGATATTTTGGAAGCTCAAGAATTGACCAAAGTTGCTGGAAGAAACAAAGAGCCTTTGAGAAATGATGGCAGAATAACACCACGTGGAATACACGTGGCCATAGCCATTAAGTTGTCTTCAATCATTTTAATCATCAAGAACCATATGCATCACACATTTTTTCCTACTAAAATAGTCCGGAAAAGCTGTGTTTGGTCAACGAATGAAGATCAGTAGATCACTTGTGGAATCAAAGAATCTTGATGATTCATTTGGTTGAATGCGTATTTGTCGGTGTAACCATTGGCTTTGTCAATCTCTTACGATCAAGTATATAATATCGTATGAGTGTACTTCAAGTTGAGACTCATAATGGACATGATGACATTCTACATGAGATGAGAACTGAGAGGAAAATAAATGCATTGACCCCTCAAGTATAAGAAATGTTCGTGTGGTTAATCAACGTGTGTTGGAGAGAAGAAATGTAAGAGAAAGAAGCTGGATGAAGTATTGTGTCAAAGAGGAGCGGGAGAGGGAGGAGAAGGGTGAGAAATGCTTGCAGCGATAACGACTAACGAGGTGATTTGGAGTGCCTCTCTTTAGCGCACCGTTCTGAACAGCAAAGTTGCTAAAGTGGATAGCGAGTGGGCTGAGAATCCGTCGGATTCCTTCTGAGTGATGAGATGATTGCTTTGATTAGTCTACTCCGATTTTAATTCCTTTGCTTTCCGCCATATCTTTGAACTCATATGGATAATTATGAATTTTAACAGAGTGGAATAATTGAACCAAGTACGAAGATGATAAAAAATAATAGATGCAAGAATTACCTTGTTGACAGGCTCATCGGTGATATAAATAGGATACTAAGCTATACGCCTGTCCAGCCATTGTTTCTTGCTGACTTTGGTGAAACAAAGTTTCGCGGTGACTTCGGTGGGGTAGAAAGTAAAGCGAGTAAACGAGGGTGGATCGAGTGTAGAGATGAAGGAGGGAGAAAATTCAAGCCCGCTGGAGCAGCAGCCAGCCCGGCTAATCGCAAAAACCGCTGGCTTCGCTCGCGCTTCAAACAGGCTATTCACAACGTACCGGGTGACTGTTGGAAACATTTTCAATATATATGTTCTTTCTTTTCATTATATAAAGTTGACATGAGCTTGATACCAATTGCGAGACATTCATTAATCTTTATACTTGTTTGGGAAGTTTAAAAAAAACTATTGATGGTAATTATGATTTACTTTTTCTTTAACTTTTCAATTGATCAGAAAAATACCTAAGGTTGAGTGGTCTTGAGGTTGCTCGATGATGCGGAGATCCGGTGTGATTTCTACTTGATGACGAGAAACAAATCTCAATATGAATTTACAAAGATCGAATTCAGCAGCCGTGAAATCGAGACAAAAGAAATTTCTGCTTGAAATTTAGTTTGAAAATTCATGTTTATTCTTTTGCAAGCAGAAAGACAAGATAGAGTTAAATATATATGCCGATGAATCTGTGAAATTGGAATACTGGAGTTGTGCAAGCAACGCGTAACGTTGAAGCTACAAGCATTGCTGGAGAAATACGTACAGGATGAGAGAGAAGAGAAGACAGGGGAGGATGAGGTGGAGGACGAGGAGGTTGGGAACTGCGATGCCCACAAAAAGCACACCAGACAGCGGCGATCGTTTTTGTTGGGCGTCAGCCGCGTTCTCTACCATCACCACCGCCTGCAGCTCCGCGCTACATTGCTCCCCTTCGCCGTGCAAACCTTTTCCCATTCCACTGGTCTTCAACCTTCGTCTACTCATCCCGCGGGATCTGATCGTGCGAGAGGATCGATCAATGGGATTAACTGAGTTCTTCTAGCGATCGCTCTCTTCCATCAAATCTACTCCATGTCCTTTTAGAAGTTGCTGCATAACTTGTTCTACAAAAAAATATACTTGAGTGAAATCAATCCTAAGGTTTACACATTTACTTTTTGTAATTTCACTAATGCTACAGATCATTTTAAACAAATAAGTGGAATTTTGAGGGAAATCATTTTCAAAGAAATTGAATAAAGGGAATACTCGGCTGAATAAAACTCGAGTGGATCGAATTACCCCCTCGGACACGTCCGGTTACCGTGAAATTTTCCCTTTGCTCTGGTGTAAATTAGTTAGTCAAGAATCAAATGATCCTGGCATCTGGTTTACATTTAAAGTAATATATTAATCTTCCGTGAAAAAAAAATTAGACCTTTTTGAATCATCACTGTTGGTAAATTCACTCCTAAAGATTCTAATTTACAACACAATAAAAATATGTCAGTTAATTAACGTTACTTAACCAAAAATTGCTTTTATAAAATACAACGAAATAAATGTTGCTGAAAAAAAAATTTAATATTTATGAAATAGTGAAATAAACCATAAAAATAACGATAAGTAAAAAATTGCAATAAATGTTAAATATTTAAGCAATTAAATTTTTTGATCAAATTATCAGTTTCAGTTAAATTGAAATAGTGAGAGAATAAAAATGATTGATGTATATTTTGCACGATAGATATTCAACATAGAAAAGTATAAAATAAATAGATGAATAAAAATCTAGAAAATAGATCATATAAAAATGAACATAAATTAAATGTCGATCGTTGGCATAACGTATTTACTTAGAAGCACTCATTAGTCACGTTTGTTTTCTTGTGTTTCAGTAAGCAAGCAGTGTTCGACGGGAAGAAGGCCATTAGAGGTGGAATTCCATTTGTCTTTCGTAAGTAGAGGGAACGCCATACAAAATATCTCAATATTTTGATTTATCATAATTATTATTATTTAAACATTTATTTTTATATTTCAGCACAATTTGGACCCTGGACATTTGGCCCAGGGCATGGATTTGCAAGGATTATGCGATGGAATGTGGAGAAATCTCCAGAAAGATTACCAAGTGGAGATGTAGAAGCAATATTTTCGATAATGGATAACGATTTTACTCGATCAATGTGGAATTATCCATTTCGACTTACATATAGGTTAATTCTACGTGAAAAAGAGCTTCATTTTAATATCGGAGTTTATAATCCTAGCAAGGAACATACTTTTAGTTTCAATCTGCTTCTACATACATACTTCAAGGTTCCTGATGTGAGAAGGTGTCAGATAACTGGTCTTCATGGTTGTACTTTCATTGACAAGGTATTTATTACCTGAACAACATAATTATTAAGATATTGCATTTATTTATTGCATCATATTAACTCTACTCAATCATTATGAATTGCTTATACTTTCCTATTCTATCATTTTCAGACGCGAGACAATCAAATATTCCAAGAAGGTCTAGACGTTGTTACAGTACGTGAATGGACCGATAGAATTTATCAGAATACACAGCCTGAGCACATAATCACGAACGTGGTTTCCGGAAGAAAAATGCGAGTCCAGAAATATAATTTTCCTGATACTGTTGTATGGAATCCGTGGCAAGAAAAAGCTAGAGATATTCCTGATTTTGGTGATGATGAATTCCCTAATATGATTTGTGTAGAAAGTGGACATGTCAGCAGTCCTGTTATACTTTTACCAGGAACAGCTTTTGAGGCTAGTCAAATTCTCCAGGTATTTGATTTATTCGTAAATAATTAAATTGATTGGATAATAATTACATTCATTTTTTTGATGCACTTTATTAAAAATTTATGAATTTTTTATTTCAGTAAATAATATAGTATTATTATACTTTACTAATATTACTCAAAAAACGATATTTATATTATTTTGATTGATTATATAAATTCAATCAATCAGCACATTGCTGAAATTATTATTCAAGCAATATATAATATATGATTATAGTGTATAAAAACATAACGAATGAGTCATGTTAAATAAATTTTTTTTTTTTTCCTTATCCAAGGTCATGTGAGTAGAGGGTGGAGTTTCATCTAGCCAAGTAACAGCAAACATGGGAGCATCAGAACAATTTCATCCTCCATCAGAATCTTTACCACCGGCACGTCCTTGCGCAACTGTTGGATGGCCAACAAATCCACCTAATTGGTTTTATGTTCAATCACCAGCTCAAACACCGGCGTACAACCATCATCATCCATCTCATCATTACTCCCACTGTGTAACTCAGTCCTGCTCCATATGTTCTCTAAATCTTTAAAAACCCGAAAACCGTAAGTTTGCTAGGTAAATTTAGCTGATGGGCGACTATTGACTATTTTATTCTAATTATAATTAATTAACACTTTTTTCCTCCTTTTATAAATTTAAAGCTACGGTATGCAATATCATAATTATTCCAGTTTTTTTTTACATTCCTTATAATATTTTCTTGAGTTTTTATCTCAAGATGACTAGCAATTTTCCACGATTAAATATTTTTTTCGATAAATAATACAGACAAAGTAATGGTGCTATGAATAATGTTAATAAATGACGTTGTAAGCATTAGATAAAGATTGTTAGAATTTAAGCCCACCGAATTCATTTTGCAAACACTTTATTTTCGAATCAATGCTTTAATGAATATATCAGTCAAAAAACGAGCAATAATTTGAAATAAAAATTAGATTCTATTTGTATTTATAAATGAACTCTGCTTCAATTAAATAATATTGAGAATATAAATAAAATTGCCAATATTTGAGCTTTAAATACTGTCAGCTGTTGTCAACTGCAATTAAATCAATTGAATATCATTGATCTTCCGCTTAAAACTATATACATTTAGCCAATAATTAAATTTAATGAAGACAACAAGACTATGAAATATAAATAATTAGAAAGTATTTTTGATTCATTTATTATGCTTTTTTTTCGTTTTGTTTCGTACTTGTAATTGAATTTTATGTTTTATAGGCGATAAATATTATTAAAAAAAAAATAAAAAATAAGATGTATACGATTAAATTTTGCCAGTGTCTTAAGGTACAGTGGCTTTTCAGTGGTGTAAAGATAAATACGTCACTGAATGAATTAATTCAAGTAGAGTTTCAGTTATTATATTGTAATATCGAGTTTTTGTAAATAGAAAGAGTTCGGTAACGAACAAAATTGTGTGTGTTCCTATACATTCAGACACAGGTGTGAGAATGTGACAGCGAAAATGAGCATAACAGATAATTAGAATTAAATTCATGTGTTAATTATAAGCCATTTGAATTGTAATATGTAGTGTTAAAAATTTAATTAATCACCTACAGTTTTCATTATCGAGAGAAAAAATTGAAATAAATACCTACAATAGATGTTTGATCATACATTTGGTCAACTATCAACTACCTTTATGAAAATATATATATATATATATATATATATATATATATATATATATTTATATCTTGAAGTAGGATTAATTGCAATTTTATCGACTTATTATTCTTTCCCATTATTAGCCTTGATATATTGTTGAGAATTTTGTTTTACGAATAACAGAATTGCACATTTATTGCAGCAAAATGTTAGAGAAAAAAGAAGGCTTGAAGAATGTAATTTTTTTGGGAAAGTGCAATAAACATATAGAAAACATGTAAACATTATGTTGGTTTAAAAAATCACTTAATTGGGATTAAAAATAAAATGAAATATTATATGATGAAAAATATACTCACAATAATTCGTTAAAATTACAACTGACATTAATTTATTCTATTAAAAGTAGATACAACTGTCAGGTATTGTTATCAAATTGATTATACTTCATCAATATTTTATAATACAAATTCACTACTATATTAAACATGAGCTTCAATTAACCATTTAAGTAACATTTACAATTATTGTTGGTATCATTATGCTCATAAATTATTATATACTTATTAATATTAGTTGTCTTATGATTAATGTATTCCTTATAAATATTACTATTACCGCTACAACTTAATCATTATAATTAAAACTATTTTTTATTATCACTATTTTCATAAATAATCAGAAAATTTTTACTACTAAAATTCTGAAGAGAGTGAAATTTAAAATCTAGAGTAGATTGGTGATTTAATTACTTAAACAAATTGATGATAAAATGGAGAGGTAGCCTGAACGGTATTTATTATAGATAGTATCGTTTCTTTCGGAGTTTAGTTATTAAATTATCATCAAGCTGCTTGTTTTTGACCATTCTGGTCCTGCGCTTTTTTTAACTGTTTCTCCCTCATTCGTTCTGCATCACTGAAATATTCATCAAAGTTCAATCACTGTTCGTAATAATTTAAAACTTAATATTGAATCAATTCAAATAGATTTTTGTATCGATGCAATATTTTTTTTCTAATAATTTTTTTTTAACAAACCGCTGTTTACGTTGTTCTAATGTGAGCCCTTTATTACTTTCTTGTTCAGCTGCAGCCTTTTTTACATTTTTTTTCATGTTCTTGGCACGAGCTAATTCTCGTTGATTTCCTCCTAAAACACAAGCATAAATTAGCACATAGACTCTAAATTACTTTAATATATTATCTTATTATCAAGCTGTTTATTTCTCAATAACTTCATCATTATTATATCATTTAAATTATTTTGAAAATCCTTTTTTTCTTAATAAGCTAAAATTAATGTTTAAAAAAAAGTAATTGCAATATCTGTAATTACTAAATAAATATAGGTTAATACTCATCTTGACGAGTTATGAGTTGGAGAAAGACAATTACGTTAGGTAATTTTATCTAAATAAAAATTTTTTCTTCATGGGTCTATTTCGAAACTATTGAGCCAATATTTTTGAATTTTTTTACAGAATGTTCGAGAATTACAGATTGGAGTACACCAATCTTATAATACTATTTTTTTGATGTAAACATTAGATACAGAATGCGTGAAAATATCTACTCCAATTGAATTTCGTTAGTGAAATTAACTTTAATCATTAACAGATTTTATAAACTCGAAGAGAAAATAAATATATAAAAATAGCACACAGGCATAAATATAAACAAGAGATCTAAAACTTGTCGAGTAAAAACTTGAGTAGTAACTTTGGAGCCTGAAAACTCTTATCTGTTTATTGTATTGTTAGTTGTACTGATATATGATGTATTGAATTTTATAATTAGTAATTATAATTTTTAGAAAATTATTTATTTAATAAACTTACGGGTCATTTTTCAAGCCTTGACCTCCGACAAACAAGTCTTTTGAAATTAATACGTAAACGGGGATCCTGATGAATTGTCTAAAAATCCTCGGGCTCCAAAATTAACGTGTGTCAGGTCTACACGTAGGTGATATGAATTAGATCACTACGAAGGCACGAATAAACTGAACTTTCAGACATTTACTCACACATAAACACAAATAACGCTAGTCAGGAAGTTCTGAATCTTTGAGAACTTTATTTCAAACTACTGCGCATTGCGTCACGCATAGATCAAGATGGCGCATCTGAGTCCAAGATGGCGGAATAATGGCGTCAGAGTCTCTTCCGCTTTGCCGGCAGTGGTATTCAGAGTAGTGTGCTGTAGAATTACTTGAAAAACATTGAATTTATGTGATAAATTACTCTGTAAAATGATTGCTACAGAAGATAAATTTGAAGAACCTCCAAAAGAGGAACAAGTGCACTTTCAATCTCCTGCTGTCCAGAATAATCCTAATGGATGGGGTCCTTGTGAATTACCAGATCAATTTAAAGATATTCCATACCAGCCGTTTTCGAAGGGTGATAGACTCGGCAAGGTAAGAAAGCGTATGGCTATTAAATTTTTGGTACATTGATAGTTAACTGTAATTAATTATTTAAAAATTACTCTTAAATTTTTCTATCTCACAAATAATATTGTCTAATACTATTTACATATTAGTTGAATTTTATTTATTACTCAGAAAATAAATTTTTTATGGGTTATGTTTATAAAACTTCAATAAATTATCATCATTATTTATAAACAGTATTGACAAATTTTTATCATCTTTATTTCAATAAATTTAATAATGTCTTTTATAATATTATCATTACATAATTCGTATTTCAATAAGATATGTTAGAAATTTATTAATCATATTCTTTTAAATATTTAAGTTGAAGTATTAATTATTTTTGTTCAATTTATATATTTTTTTGTAATTTAAGATATCAGACTGGACTGGAGCAGCTTTTCAAGACAAGAAATTTACCAGTAAGTTATTGAATTTATTATCAATTACTATATAATATTAAAAACATTATTCAACATTATTTATAATCAAATGTAAATTTTACAGACAAGTATGCGTCTCAATTTGGCTCTGGTAGTCAATACGCTTACTATCATGATGAAGATGAATCAACATTTCACTTGGTTGATACAACACGCGTACAAAAGCCACCTTATCAACGTGGCCGATTTGGTAAAAACCAACGTAATCTTCGTGGTCGTGGTGGCCAACGTGGTGGCCTCAATCAAATGCAGCAACTTGGTAAACTCAAGTTACGCGAACGTGAACGTAAAGGCCAAGCTAAACGTTGGGGACGCCAACAAGGTCTTAGGAATCATAAAAACCAACCCCCAATTAAAATTCGTGATGCTTCCGTTACTGTAAGACCTGATTGGGTAACTATTGAGGAAATGGACTTTCCAAGACTGGCCAAACTTACATTGCCCAATATTAAAGATGGAGAAGATGTTGTTTGCTGTGGATCATTGGAATTTTATGATAAAACTTATGACCGAGTTAATGTCAAAAATGAAAAGCCATTACAAAGAGTTGACCGTATATTCCATACAGTTACCACAACTGATGATCCAATTATTCGTAAATTATCTAAAACAGAAGGAACTGTTTTTGCTACGGATGCTATATTGGCAACAATTATGTGTTGTACTCGTAGTAATTATTCATGGGATATTGTCATAGAAAAAATTGGAGACAAACTTTTCTTTGATAAACGTGATAACACTGAATTTGACTTACTAACTGTTAATGAAACTAGTGTGGAACCACCTCAAGACGATGGAAATTCTTTAAATTCTCCAAGAAATCTTGCATTGGAAGCTACGTTTATTAATCATAACTTTTCTCAGCAAGTTCTAAAATCAAATGAACCAAGATATAAATTTGATGAAGGAAATCCATTTATTTCTGAAGAAGAGGAAGGTGATGTAGCATCTGTTGCTTATCGTTACAGAAAATGGGATCTTAATAACGGAATCACTTTGATTTGCCGATGTGAACATGATGCAGTAATGCAAGGACCTAACGGAGAAACTCAATTTCTAACAATTAAAGCTTTGAATGAATGGGATTCAAAATTAGCAAATGGAGTAGAGTGGAGACAGAAATTAGATATTCAACGAGGTGCAGTATTGGCCAATGAATTGCGTAATAATGCTTGCAAGCTCGCTAAATGGACAGTTCAGGCATTGCTTGCTGGTTCTGATCAACTAAAGCTTGGATATGTTTCACGTGCCAGTGTTCGTGACTCAAGTAAACACGTAATCCTCGGAACTCAACAGTATAAGCCTAATGAATTTGCTACGCAAATCAATCTGAATATGGATAATGCTTGGGGCATTTTACGATGCATCATTGATATATGTCTAAAGCAGAAAGATGGAAAATATTTAATTATGAAGGATCCTAATAAGCCAATGATTCGATTGTATGATATTCCTGATAATACCTTTGAAAGTGAAGGTGAAGAAGATGAGGATGAAGATGAACCTGTTAATGATGCTTTCCAAAACTGATCAATTTTCTGCCATTCAATTTTGTATATCAAAAATTTTTTTTGACATTTTTATTTTAATTACCGATATCCAATATACCATTATGTGACATCATCGAAATTGTAATAAATTTGGGGATTTAATATCTAGTTTTAATATCAATTTGTTTATTGAATTAATAAATTTAAACAAAAGAAACAACAAGTGTGTAGTAAAAAAGGTTATTAATTTTATTTTTTTCCCTTTGAATACATTTTTATACATTAATATTTGTTACTGATGTAAAGCTGGATCCAATTTTTTAATTACATATATAACTTTTCTTATTGCAGCTTCAAGCATTTCATCTGTTATGTCAACATGAAAAACTAGTCTCAAATTTTCTCGCCATTCAGCCCAAGCTTGAACAATAACTTTATCATCTTTATGATCATCTTCTACTACTTGAAGACGTTCAACGACAGTTTCCGCGGTGACACTTGGTAATCCTTTTACAATCACAAAGACCATGTTAGTTTGAACGGTTTTAGGATCAACATAAATTACCTTAGAACCAACATTATTAATTGCTGTCATCATCTTAGTTGCTTTTTCATGATCTGAAGCTAATCTGAATCTATTTTCTAAAGCAACTAATCCGGCAGCTGCAATAATTCCAACTTGACGCATTCCACCACCTAAAGCTTTTCGACAACGTCGTGCTTGAGTGATAAATTCATTACTTCCACATAATAATGATCCTACTGGCGCTCCTAAACCTTTACTTAAGCAGAAAGAAACAGAATCAAAGCCCCTTACAACTTCTTTTACTGAAATGTTGCTTGCAATTACAGCATTCCAAAGCCTAGCGCCGTCCATGTGTAATTTAAGATTATTTTTTTTTGCAAATTCTACAACTTTATTAAGCCACGTAACAGGCAAAATTTTGCCATTTATGGTATTTTCTACCGCAATCATACGAGAAATAGGATGATGAACATCATTAGGATTACGAATTTTATATTGGAGAAAATCTAAATCAAATGTACCATCATGATTATTTGGCAATGGATAAATTGTAACACCTGCTATTTGTGCAAGTGATCCTTGCTCATGTTGAACAATATGAGATTCTTCACCTAGATAAACTTCACAACCTCTCACATTACAATGAACCATAGCTAGAAATAACCATTTAGCCATTAATAATTATAATAAAAAAAATAATTATTATTACATTGTTTTTAAGTCCTTACCAGCAATTAAATTTCCCATTGAACCACTCGATACAAATAAAGCAGCTTCTGTTCCAAGTAAGTTAGCAGCCATTTGTTCTAATTCTATAAAATATTCCATAATCATTAAAAAATTATTTTATTATAAAATTTCTTTAAAGTATCTTTATTCTGTTTTTATTTAGGTGGCCAACATCAAAATACATAAATAAAGGATATGATACAATATGCCTGATTGCAGTAGTCAAATTTTATGATGTGTTAAAAATATACTGAATGAAATTTAGATATGAGATGATAATCGCTATTTTATATTAATTATTAACTAAATAATTAGTGAATCGATAATTACTGATAACTGTTGGGTCTTCTCTACAAACGTCATCTCCAACTTCAGCTTCAAACATTGCTTGTCTCATTGTTTGACTAGGCTTTGTAAATGTGTCACTTCTTAAATTAACAATAATTACCTGAAGAAAGAAAATACAATTAGTTAAAACTTTCTTCATTGATAACTTTTGATTAAACAATTAAATCAAAAAGAAAAAATCAATTCACCTTGTCAGAAGTGGAATCAGTAGTATTTTTCATTTGATACATTTTCGCTAGAGGAAAATTTAAACAGTTTCTGAAATATGTAATAATTTTATATACAAGTTACAGAAAGCATTTAACTTACCTGTTATTTAAAAACAAAAACGTAAACAAAGAATGGCCAAATATTTTGTATAAACTATTTTGACTTAAAGATGAGTTACTTTGGATTTAAAACGAAATGGTATGGCCGGAAAACTTGTTGGCGCCTAGATTTAACAATTTATTAAAATATAATGAAGTAAGTTTAAAAATATTTTTATTATTCTCTTTTAAACGATAATAAATAAATACTTTTATATTGGTTATTAAAATGAAATAAATCGTTAAATTTAATGTATTACGCATTAAATTATAGCTGAAGACTCAATTGATAAAATGAAAGATAATAGTTCAGAGTGTGAAAAAATTATCCAATTAATAGAGATAATCTATGTGATGAAATAAGATAAAATTCTACAACCTAGTCTAGAATATAAAAATCCATTTGCCGCCCATGGAAAGATACCTTAATCGGCGCGATTATTTGCTTTGAAAGTTTTAAATATCACGATTAAAACACGCAAATATGGAAGTGGTTTAATTCACAACATGAGATATGTTGGGGTCCATTAGCTAAATGTTGAAGCGTTTATCTCAATTTAGCCATCGACAGTTTGCCTATTTAATGGCTTTATTTGGTATTAAGAAAAAATTAGTCACCTTTAAGGACTTAATGCTACCTGGTAATAATAATTTACTTATTAAGAATAAATTTCTACAAAAAGTTTTGGCTTATTCGGATGTGAAACGATGCAATGTTTTTCTTTGTAATTAAATGTACATAAAAATATGCCACGCTCTTTTATTGTTTACTCTTGAATAATTGAAAAAGTAATAAATATTTAAGAAATATTTAGAATAATTTATGATGAATGAAATGGTTTGGTCGATAATAAGTTTGATTTATGATTTATAGTATTGGTATAAGCATTGTAAATTTATTTAAATATTTGTAACTGAACAGATTTCTATACATGCGCGAGTATAATCGGTAATCTCATTTAATACCAAATAAAGAAATGGTATGACTCATATGTTTATATTTTTGAATTCACCTTGAGAATTGTAGGCCAGCCAGTAGTTGGCGAAGTTGGGATCATGACGACCATAAAGTAAACTCAATTAATTAGTGGATTATTTTACGAATATACAGAAAATTAACGGTCTTGAGATGTTTTTAAAAAAATATACATAAATTTTTATTATTTCTTCAAAGTTGTCAAGCTAATTTTTATGAGCACTTCTTCCAACATGATTACTTAGGTGAAAATAGTTAGTAATTAAAATTCCTAAATGATTTATGAAGATACAGTCAAAAATATTTTGTGATTTTTTTTTAATAGTTATTTTCAGTTATTAAAAATGAAAAAATTGAATATCAATTCAAATTGTGAAAATAAATGAAATAGTTTATTGTCTATGACGAAAGGTAAGATAATCTTTCCATTCTTAAAACTATGATAATTATTGTTCAAATCACAAGAAAAAATCATTAACGATTATTATATTATTATTAATCTAATAAATAGAATTAATTGACGCAGAAAATAAAAAAAAGTGTACATTTAAATTTGGAATAAATTTAGAGTAGCGAATAAGCGCGTCGCTTGGCGAATTAGTTCAATGAAAATCCGGCATATGGCGACGTAGTCATGAGCGCTATAAATTCCACAGTGGTCAGTATGTGAACTTGAACGACGGTTACTGAATGTGCGCGTGTATATCCAGACGAAAAAAGATAGAAATACGTGGAATCTGTAACGTAAAGTGGGAACGTAATAAAATTGAATGTGTAGTGAGTGGTTTCGGCGCAGGCAGGAGAAGCGAGAGGTTCTTGGACTTGAGTACGAACGAAAGAAAGAGGGAGAAGTTATGGCGAGAAGCCATGGGGGTAGTGAAATCAGACTGGACTGTTGAAGAACGGTATTGAGAGGTAGTAGTGCGGCAGGCAGCGGTCGAGTAAGAGAAAAGAGTCACGGAGAAAACGATTTTACATGTGTGGTTTTGTTTCTCAAACAATTTTAAAGCCGACAGGCCCGTGCATGTATAATACGTGGAATCGACAATCATTCGTGGTTAGTTAAGTGTAATAAGCCGGTCAGTGAATTATTTTAAGACGGCTTCATTGAGAAAAGCTGTAGCAAGAAAAAGAAAAACGACGCGTGAAATTTTTTTTATCACTTTCAAATAATTCGGAGAACAGTTGAGGAGAGTCTTAACATACCAGCAAGGCGTGTAGTGCTTGAGTTACATTTTTTGCAAAGGAAGAAAGGCGGCGCATTGTGCGCGCTAAACAAAAATGGCGGATAGCGATTCGAGGGTAGACCGGTCAGATCCGGAGCTACGTTTTCTGTCTGTCGACAGGAACAACTTCAATGATCCGGCTACACAAGCTGAATGGACGCAGAAGAAACTCGTATGGGTGCCGCACGAGACTCAAGGTTTTGTTGCCGCTGGAATAAAAGGCGAACGTGGTGATGAAGTCGAAGTGGAAATCGCTGAGACCGGTAAACGGGTACTCGTTGCCAAGGATGATATACAAAAGATGAACCCACCTAAATTCGACAAGGTCGAGGACATGGCCGAGTTGACGTGTCTTAATGAAGCGTCTGTGCTTCATAACCTCAAGGATCGTTACTACTCCGGACTCATATATGTAAGTATTTTATTTCATCATTTTCAATATCTATTTTTTTTATTATTATTCATTAAAAAATTCAATGGTCTAGCAATTGTTTGATGTGCTAATGTCCTTATTTATATTTTTGCCACAATTATTGCCTTCAACGATTAAAATTCCACGACATTATGACGTCGCGCATCGGAATCCCGACCTTGTCCTTCATGTTGCTTCTCTAGATTTTTTTTCACTTTTTCTTCATGCTCAAAGACTACACTCAGACTTTGCTTTGATATTAGGCATAGTCTTCGAGCATATCTAGGTGGTCCCCATGAATATGAAAGCTGTAATGAAAGGGCTTACGTCATACTGATCGAATAAGAGGTATCAACGATAACCATTCAATGTTCCAGGCTTGAAAAATTATTTTTTATTTTCTGGTTAACTTTAAAAATATTTTCTTACACTTTTTAATTCTTTAGCAATGTCTAATAAAATATTCTTTTTTATTTTAGAGAATATTTTTGATATTTTCTGAGTTTAATGTGATTCAAAAATTACTCTAGCAGTTCTAATGTGGATAAAGAAGAATTTTTTAATTCTTTTATCGAAATCTTGATGACTCTGCGGAGAATCAAGGGTTTCATTCAAACAGATAATTAAATGACAACCGGCTGTCATCTTACTACAACGCGGGAGAGTTGAAACGCAGACGCGTTGTGATACCACGTGAGAATGTTTGAAAAGCGAATGAAGATGTGCGTGGTTGAACATCATTACGTGTTACAGCCGTTGTTCTTCCTCTCTATTTCCTCTTTTTTATTCATTCGTCAATCAATTTCTCTTTTTTCTAAGAAAGCATGAGGGAGCATGACTACTTTCTAAGTCAAGTATGAAAGTGAATTGCAATTGATTATAAGCAACTAGTATCTGACTATCTGGTGTAATCACCACAAATCACTATTACTTATTTTTCTATATTTTTTCTTTCTTTCTTTCTGTTGTATTCCAAAGTTTGAGAAAATAACTAGATAAACACTTTTATACCAAGCAAATCAACTACAATTAATATGTAATAGCTAAAGTTAAAGGTCTTTACATGATATTCAAATCTATTTTGTAGGTTTTTTTTGAATATGAATTAGACTAGGGTGAAATTATAGAACAACAGTTGGGGATCGTAGTGAAAGCTTAATTGAATATTAATGTCTTACATTAATAAAGTAGTTATCAAAAAATCAGATACATTTTAATTCAAAGTACTAGTTTTTTTTTTCACCAAAGACATAACATTAATTTTTTTTTATTAAATAATAATTGTACTTGAAAAAAAAAAACTTTTTCTGTTTTAACAATAGTACATTGTTATTTAATTGCTTGAAAAGCTTGATGATGACACTATTGAGAAAAAATTAAAATTAGATTAACAATTTAATCACATGATACTGAATAAAAGAATTATAATATAATTGATTATTCATAAAAGATAAACTACTTGAAAAATATTCGTTCCTTTAATTCTTCACCCTTATCAAAGCAGAAGCAGATAAATTCACCTACGTCAAGTTTCTGAGTCATTCACGATATCTTAATTGAAGACAGAAAAAAAAATTTCTAGACATTCTTCAACAACTTATACATCGATAATATTTATTTCAATCTATCTTCATTATTCTTTTGTTCATAGTTCCAACTAATGAAAATAATATTATTCAATAATAAAATCAATTAAATTAAATCAATTCAATTGTGTCAACTATAAGCTAAAGTTCGTTTAATTGTTTTGATAATTCTTTACATTGTTCAGTTTATAATTGACATTTGTCAAGCATTTGCGCTGTCCAAGTGTTAAAAAGGCCAACGTCCTGAACTAGTATCAATATCTCGCTTGTCTTGTTGGTTACTGCTTGATTTGTTCTTTTTTTCTTCTATCATATCACATTGTTGTTAACGCATTTTTTTTATCCATTTGCTTCCTTTTACTTTTGCCTTTGCTCGCCCGCAAGTCACACCCATGTCTCTTTGGGTAAAGCAGTTGTGCTTGTGATAAGGTTTAACGATAAGATAAAATAGCAAATTATATCTGTAGTTAAAATTTCATATATATGTATATATATATGTGGAGGAAAAAAAAAATATTTTCATATCTCAATGCTGATTTTTGTGTCATGTCTCGTTGATGAGTCTTTTGTCATGTCATCATCTCGTCACGTCTCGTTTCATTTAAAAAATATGAGACCATTTATTTTTAGATTTCAATGCTTAACTTCGTTAATCACTTATCTTTTTTATTGTATTATTTATCGAAAGTTATGCAAAAAATATTTGTAAACACATTAAAAGAATTTGATTAGGAGTTTCGTTCATTTTAATTGGCCATTTAGATTTTTAAAGAACATACATTCTTGAAATAATTATAAAAAATATATATATTTGATGAAAAGAAAAAAAATAGTTTTTTATTACAATAAAATGATTGAGAAAAAAAAATACACATGAACTTATAAAAAATCGTTCTGAAGCCTGAGAAAATATTTTATCCAATCATTCAAAATAATCTTTAATATTTATAATACACATTTCAAAACCATCTATTGTTTGTTATTGATAGTTAAATGATGAAAGAATAAAATACAATCGGATTGTCATTGTAGTCTAGGATTATTTTTAAAATACATTTGACCTCAAAAGAATTTCGATAGTAATCTTGGTCTGGATATTATTGATATTGGAAATTGGAGTAATCAAACTAGACATATATAGTGGAATGTCTGGAGTTTGAAAAGACCACCCGTAGAGTTAATTTCTTGTGGTTATTTGAAATCCCATTTACTCTGTCGTTATCAGTTCATCGTAATAGATTCAAAAATGAAGATGAACCGTAATATCTCATATCAACTCATACTAATATCCTTTAATGTATGAATAACATATATTACATAGTATTTTTTATTTGTATACTTACTCTTTTATTAACCACAAATTAGCGTAATTATCGATTGTATGATAAGGTCCATTTAGGAATATACATATATAAATATAAAATCAGGTGAATAACATTTAAAGATAATATCAGCAATATTTTAGTCACCGTTTTTGATACTTGACCATTAAGTATATTCAAAAGTTACACCATTATTTATTATTTTCATTTCAATTTGTCAATTTATTGCTAAAAATTTCTTTGTTATTAAAATCAATCTTCAATTAATTATTTTATTTTTCATATAAATATTTTTAATTTCTAAATCAGTTTGAAAATTAATTAATTTATATTTATTAATAAAGTTTTAATGACATTATTTAATACGGTCAATTTAAAATTAGTTAATTATTTCTTCGAAAATCTTTGACCTACATTTATATATGACTGAAAAATATCCAGATCTATGTAACATTAATTTATTATCTAGCTTTAACATTAATTATAAATTTTTTTCTATTACAAATAAATAATTAATAATAATTATAATACCTACTATTTTTAAGAATCATTACACGACAACTCTAAAAAATAATAATTAATTTCATTAAAAATATTTGCTGAATAAAAATCAATTCACAGTTTGCATCACAATTTAAGTAAAATAATATCATTTTTTAAAAATGCAGAATAGTCGTTTTTGATTTTAAAATAAATAATATTAAAGAGTTATATATTATTTGAATATATAACAGTAACTTGTGTATAATTAGGGAGAATTGAAAGTTAACATTTAAATCCTAAAAAAATAAGAGGATATTTGGATGGTCTTCTCTGAGCAAGTTTCATCCTTTCTTGAAGTGACTCATGCGTGACTGATTCGGTGTAAGAAGGAAAGTGAAGGATGGAAGAGAAACGAAGACGACCGAATACAAAGTTGTAAGAGAGTAGAATATGAGCTTTAGATGTTGTTCGACGAACTCTCAATGCGACGGCCATTTTGCAAATTCGAGTACTGTCCCAACAAAATGCATGATACCATGGTATAGTTTACAGTCTTGCGAAAGGCATCCAACTTTCTTCTTTCTTATTCCTGCTGTTTCAGTTGTTATTTTGCTACATCAGCAAATTTCCGAACGTTTATTTCGCAAATTCTGACGTCTTGGTAAAAGAATTTTAAAAATAAACCACGTTGTGGAATTTATAAAAATATTGATGTAATGAATAATTGAGTTAATATAAAATATAAAATATGTATTACTCAGATAATAAATTAACGTTGACTAGTTTGTGCAGTAATAAAATTCAAAAGGTCTTTCTTATCATAACGTGGGAGTCAGTCGAACGTTGTCGTTTTGTCTCTCTCATACGCTTTTGCGTTAATAGAAGGTTACTATAGGTTCGTACACCTGTTTAAACAACCTGAAAAATTTTACGCCATATCTTTATGTTGGCATGAGATCACCTAATCAGTATTACTGAAGAGTGTCTTAAATATTTTTTCTCTTAACATAAGCTTATATTATTTCTATTTTTATTCGTGTAACGTCATTATTATACTTGTTTTTTTCTTTTTTTTTTAGTAATAATTAATAACTAAAATAAAATACAAACATTAGGTTATCGTGATTTTATTGAAAATATTACTAAACACTATATTTAGAAATCAGATTGATGGTCTACTTCTTTTAACTGTCGTTAAATCATAAATATTTTTACGGAATTCAAATATATTATTCTATAACGTAAAATCTTAATGTCTCTAGGGCTTAAACATATCCACAATTCCTCTAAAAAAAGTATCCCCCTTTTTGGAAACTTTTGTCCAATTCAACATTTTTCATTGGAATATATATTTTTTTTTAGTTGGATTTATTTATAAAACAAAAAAAAAGGAAGATATATTCATAAAATGTATGAAAATTTTCTGCTATTATCCTTAGATTAATAATAATATAATCAAAATGATTGATTAAAAAGAATCAAAAGTACGAATAAAAAAAGTACACATATAAAATTGATTATATTAAATAAGCAAACTACTGTGAGAGTTTGAATTGTATTAAGATATATCAAATGACGTACAAATTCATATCTTGGGTGAATGCACTCC